TACCTGTAGACTACACTAAATTTTCAATTCTTCTAGATTCTCCCAATACAACTTTTTTTTTTTTGTGGTTAAAATATAATTTTTATTTATTTATTATTATTATACTTTAAGTTGTAGGGTACATGTGCATAACGTGCAGGTTTGTTACATATGTATACTTGTGCCTTGTTGGTGTGCTGCACCCATCAACTCGTCATTTACATCAGGTATAACTCCCAATGCAATCCCTCCCCCCTCCCCCCTCCCCCCTCCCCATGATAGGCCCCGGTGTGTGATGTTCCCCTTCCTGAGTCCAAGTGATGTCATTGTTCAGTTCCCACCTATGAGTGAGAACATGCGGTGTTTGGTTTTCTGTTCTTGTGATAGTTTGCTAAGAATGATGGTTTCCAGCTGCATCCATGTCCCTACAAAGGACACAAACTCATCCTTTTTTATCGCTGCATAGTATTCCATGGTGTATATGTGCCACATTTTCTTAATCCAGTCTGTCACTGATGGACATTTGGGTTGATTCCAAGACTTTGCTATTGTGAATAGTGCCGCAATAACATATGTGTGCATGTGTCTTTATAGCAGCATAATTTATAATCCTTTGGGTATATACCCAGTAATGGGATGGCTGGGTCATATGGTACATCTAGTTCTAGATCCTTGAGGAATCGCCATGCTGTTTTCCATAATGGTTGAACTAGTTTACAATCCCACCACCAGTGTAAAAGTGTTCCTATTTCTCCACATCCTCTCCAGCACCTGTTGTTTCCTGACTTTTTAATGATTGCCATTCTAACTGGTGTGAGATGGTATCTCAGTGTGGTTTTGATTTGCATTTCTCTGATGGCCAGTGATGATGAGCATTTTTTCATGTGTCTGTTGGCTGTATGAATGTCTTCTTTTGAGAAATGTCTGTTCATATCCTTTGCCCACTTTTTGATGGGGTTGTTTGTTTTTTTCTTGTAAATTTGTTTGAGTTCTTTGTAGGTTCTGGATATTAGCCCTTTGTCAGATGAGTAGATTGCAAAAATTTTCTCCCATTCTGTAGGTTGCCTGTTCACTCTGATGGTAGTTTCTTTTGCTGTGCAGAAGCTCTTTAGTTTAATGAGATCCCATTTGTCAATTTTGGCTTTTGCTGCCGTTGCTTTTGGTGTTTTAGACATGAAGTCTTTGCCCATGCCTATGTCCTGAATGGTACTACCTAGGTTTTCCTCTAGGGTTTTTATGGTATTAGGTCTAACATTTAAGTCTCTAATCCATCTTGAATTAATTTTCGTATAAGGAGTAAGGAAAGGATCCAGTTTCAGCTTTCTACTTACGGCTAGCCAATTTTCCCAGCACCATTTATTAAATAGGGAATCCTTTCCCCATTTCTTGTTTCTCTCAGGTTTGTCAAAGATCAAATGGCTGTAGATGTGTGGTATTATTTCTGAGGACTCTGTTCTGTTCCATTGGTCTATATCTCTGTTTTGGTACCAGTACCATGCTGTTTTGGTTACTGTAGCCTTGTAGTATAGTTTGAAGTCAGGTAGCGTGATGCCTCCAGCTTTGTTCTTTTGACTTAGGATTGTCTTGGAGATGCGGGCTCTTTTTTGGTTCCATATGAACTTTAAAGCAGTTTTTTCCAATTCTGTGAAGAAACTCATTGGTAGCTTGATGGGGATGGCATTGAATCTATAAATGACCCTGGGCAGTATGGCCATTTTCACAATATTGATTCTTCCTATCCAGGAGCATGGTATGTTCTTCCATTTGTTTGTGTCCTCTTTGATTTCACTGAGCAGTGGTTTGTAGTTCTCCTTGAAGAGGTCCTTTACATCCCTTGTAAGTTGGATTCCTAGGTATTTTATTCTCTTTGAAGCAATTGTGAATGGAAGTTCATTCCTGATTTGGCTCTCTGTCTGTTACTGGTGTATAAGAATGCTTGTGATTTTTGCACATTCATTTTGTATCCTGAGACTTTGCTGAAGTTGCTTATCAGCTTAAGGAGATTTTGGGCTGAGACAATGGGGTTTTCTAAATATACAATCATGTCATCTGCAAACAGGGACAATTTGACTTCTTCTTTTCCTAACTGAATACCCTTGATTTCTTTCTCTTGCCTAATTGCCCTAGCCAGAACTTCCAACACTATGTTAAATAGGAGTGGTGAGAGAGGGCATCCGTGTCTTGTGCCAGTTTTCAAAGGAAATTTTTCCAGTTTTTGCACATTCAGTATGATATTGGCTGTGGGTTTGTCATAGATAGCTCTTATTATTTTGAGGTATGTTCCATCAATACCGAATTTATTGAGCGTTTTTAGCATGAAGCGCTGTTGAATTTTGTCAAAAGCCTTTTCTGCAGCTATTGAGATAATCATGTGGTTCTTGTCTTTGGTTCTGTTTATATGCTGGATTATGTTTATTGATTTGCAAATGTTGAACCAGCCTTGCATCCCAGGGATGAATCCCACTTGATCATGGTGGATAAGCTTTTTGATGTGTTGCTGAATCCGGTTTGCCAGTACTTTATTGAGGATTTTTGCATCGATGTTCATCAGGGATATTGGTCTAAAATTCTCTTTTTTTGTTGTGTCTCTGCCAGGCTTTGGTATCAGGATGATGTTGGCCCACAACTTTCTATGGAATTACTAAAAACAGAAACTTTTTTTGTTCCAAAAGCCCTATAAGCTGAAACTAGATAAATTTTAAGGAACAAGCCTCCTGCCTCATATATGGGCCACAGAAAATGTTTACCAAACCACCTGATATCATAATCAGAGACAGTCAAACTACAAACCAGGACAAAAAGTTGATGTCTTAATGCCATAGGCAGCTTTTCCCATGATGTCAGAATAAAACTCTATAATGAGGCTCCCTATTCTCAGGCCTACCTTTTTCACTTGGCAGCATAAAAGTCATTTGATTTATTCAATTGGTTGTCTTTAAGCCTAGGGTCAAAACTATTACACAAATTGGGACTTTCATACTACTGTTAATTTTACTCTGTATTTTCCACTTTTAAACTTTGTGTGTGTCACTCGTTAAATTTTTCCAGAAATACAATTTCTAACAAAACAATGCTGACTCAGCACTTTGAGATGATGGCAAAAAGATTATGCAACAGACAGAATTGAACTTAATAATGAATTCCAGGTAGACTTAGCCTGTGATTCTCTTCCTTCAAACCTCTCATGTTGCTCAATATGGCTAATGGAGTTTTGTCATTTACTCATAGTCAGTAAGCACTCTCTCTAATGTGAGATGGGATTAGGAACTCAGAACAAGTCTATTTTGGCACCAAAAAAATATTAAAACTTAATGACAATATGAATTACTAGTGGTGCTTTTGGAAAAATATTTTGATCAAAAGGGGGAAATGTGAAAGCTGTCAGAATCAAAATGGAGTTAAAGATGGGTGCTGATGAGTTGATGGGTGCAGCACACCAACATGGCACAAGTATACATATGTAACAAACCTGCACGTTATGCACATGTACCCTAGAACTCAAAGTATAATAATTAAAAAAAAAAAAAAAAACCCAAAAACACACACATACACATGAACTGACAAATAAAGCCATAAAAGGCTATGAAGAGAGGGTTCTCATGCTTGTATGCCTGATAACAAAAATATCATAAACGGTGGCAAAAATCACAACATTGCTCAAAGGCCATCACAACCTTAAAAATATGTATACTTCTGCAAGGACATCTGTCCAGCAACTGCCTGTGCAACCTCAGACTAGTATCACTCTTATTACTGATTTTTGAAGCCAAAGATAATTATCTCAAAAATTATGTAATTCTCCTCAATTTGTTTCTCTATAAAACCCTTTGTCTTCCTTTTTCTCTTAACCCACATAATTAATATGACACTTGCTTTCTCATTGCAATGCTGTAATCCTGAATATTATTCTCTTTTAGGGAGCCTCTCCTATTTAGGCTGACATGCCCCATGGGATGATTAACACATAGACCAGAGCTGACAATTTACTTTTTCTACCTTGTTTCCTTGAAAACTTGTCTGCTTGGTTGGTTGAGTTAATTCATCACATATGAGTAAAAGTGCCACAAGTGTTATGTGAGTGTGTATATGTGTATACACTTTCATAAACTTAAAACCAACTGATTTTTATCTTTTATTCAAAGAAGGCCATGTGTATAGTTTGTTTACATAAATTTTATAGTAAATAATGTAGAAAGGATATATAGCATGTCAACTTTTGTAAGACTATACCATTGAGCACTAATGAATAAGACAGGTACAGGAACCTATCTGAACATGTCGCATTCCATTGAAAAGGGAATTTGCTGATGTGATTAAGAATCATGAGATGAGGAGGTTTTCATGGATTATCTGTGTGAGTCCACGACAATCACAGGGGAGGGAGGGAAGAAGAAGGTGAAAGGCAGAGGAGACACAGCAGTGGAAGCAGAGGTCAGTGATGAGATTGCTAGCTGGAAAGGGAACATAAGCTAAGTGCTGTACGCAACCTCTAGAACCTGGAAAAAGCAAGAAAACAGATTGTCCCTAGAAGTTCCAGTAGGAACACAGACTGCCAACATCTTGGTTTTAACCTCGTGAGACCCACTTTGACCTTCTGACCCCCAGAAATGTGGGATAACAAATTTGGGTTGTTACAAGCTACTATGTTTGTAGTGATTTCTTACAGTAGCAATAGAAAATGAATACCAAAAAAAAAAAAAACAACACATTATTTTTACAAAATACACGTGTAAGCCAAATTAAAAGGTAGAAAACACTGGAGTACTTATTTACCTTAACTAATTTAGTAATATGCATAACATTGGTATAAATATAAGAGTGAGTTTAGCGCTGTTACTCCAATGCTGTTCATCTAGCCAGACCCAAAAGAATTGTTTCTAATGGGAATTTTAGTTCTCTGGTTACAATGATATCAGTTGATGAAGCCAAGTACATACATCATAAAGTAGAAAAAGATACACAAATAAACAAATAAGTAACATAAAGGCAAATGCCATCGAACTATTATCAATGTTGCCCTTGAGACCAGAAATACTCCTTATATAGTGTGTATTCCCTTCAGTGATTCTGCTACTTTAAGGCTTCAGTGATTATGCTCCTTTAAGGCTAAAGTTAGAAGTTGAAATACTGATCTCAGTCACACAGTCCCTGGATAGGGTATGCTTCTAACCTTCCTGAAAATATGATGACTGTACTTTATTTCCAGACACTACCTTTATTTCACATATAAGTGCCACTCTCCCTCGCTCCATCATGCATTAGTAGCCTTCTACATGCAAAGAGATATAGTTCATAGTAACTATTAACTTTCTTTAAAAAAACAGGAGGACTCTTAAGAACTGGCGACATTTTAAAGATAATATTCTTTTAAAAAATTTTTGTCTAATAAAATTTTCTTTCAAATTACACTGAATGAAAATGCTAAAAGTAGTGCTGCTTGGTATTGTAGTTTCATAACAAAGGCAATTAACTTTACACAAATGTTTTATGATGAGATGGAAAAATATTGTGTGTCTTACTTGAGTGAACATCAACATTTTGCTTTGGGTGCACACACCAACTGAGAATAATGAAAAAAGAAAATCCCCTTTAAAAAATTTGTTAGCCTGTTTTCCCTTAAGTCTTATTTCCACGTGTAGTTTTTCTGTGATAAAAATTTATTTTTAAATACAAGATAAAAATAGTTCCACAAAAGTTGAACTTGATGGATAAATGCTACAAAACTAAAAATATAATTTTTAGTAGCTGAACAAAATATGTCTCTTGCAAGGAGGATGATCTGTGTTTTGACCACCTTCCAAGAAATGATGCCACATACCTCCACACGCACTACCACGCTTTCTCTTCCTTGTTTGGAAATTATTTTAAAAACCCTTTAGTGGCTTACATTTTATCTATGTCTACAAACTGATTATTTGCAAATTATTTTTTATTATTTATAGACATTGTTTTCTTGTTTGGGTATGTGAGGTTGACATAAGAACAATTAAACATTTTCCACTAAAATGAATGGAATTTCTAACAATTTCTTGCCACTTTTTTTTTTAAAAAATAGCAGTTTTCAGGAAAAAAATGAAAAGCACTAAAGGAGGATAGTTTTAGTTTTAAATTTACATTAGTTTGAGTGATCGGCATGGGTTATCTAGGAATCTCTTTAGTGCATCTTTCACGTTTTTGTTCCTTAGGCTGTAAATTAGGGGGTTCAACATAGGTATGACCAGGGTGTAGAAGACCGAGGCCATTTTGTCAGTATCTAATGAGTGATTACTCCTTGGTTGCAAATACATGAAAAGGAGAGTCCCATAGAACACAACCACAGCTATCATGTGAGAAGCACACGTGGAAAAGGCTTTTTGTCGTCCTTCTGAGGAACGTATCCTCAAAATGGTAATAACAATGTTGAAGTAGGATATCAGAACAACGATCATGGAGAAAAACAAATTGGTCCCTGAAAAGATAAACACTGCTGTTTCTGGAATGTAGGTATCAGAACAGGACAATGCTAGCAAAGGGACATCGTCACAGTAAAAATGATTGATGATGTTGGAAGAACAGTATGACACAGAGAACACACAGGAAGAGACAGTAAGGGCTGTGATAAGACTCTGAAGGTATGTGAGGGACACCAGCAGACGACATACCTTTGGAGACACCACTACTGCGTAGAGCAGAGGGTTGCAAATAGCCACGTAGCGGTCATAACCCATTGCAGCCAGCATGAAAATCTCAGCCACAATGAAAACCAAGAATCCACCCAGTTGGGCTGCACATCCATAGTAAGATATGGTTTTCTTGGTAACCAGGAAGTTAACCAGCATTTTAGGGGCAATGACAGTAGAATTGCAAAGATTAATGACAGCCAAGTGTCGGAGGAAAAAGTACATGGGGGTTTGAAGTCGAGAGTCGACACTGGTGAGGGTGATGATGCCCAGGTTCCCTGCCACCGTCAGCACATAGAGCACCAGAAAGACCAGGAAGAGAGGAATCTGGAGCTCAGGATCATCTGAGACTCCCACAAGAATGAACTCCGTCACCCATGTGAGATTTCCTGAAGCCATTTGTATTGTTGCCTTCATCTTTTACCTGAGAAAGTTGAAGGAAATTAATGGATGATAAAATTGATGTTTCTATTAGATGCTAGGTTGTTAAATATTTCATTTGAAATGAGTTTATTTTGTTTTACAAACCCTTAAAAGTTTCAGAACCTAATTGTTTTTCTCCCCATGTTTTCATAAACTTCAGAAATAAAAACTCACCAGACAATTAAGAGTCTTAAAACTGGCCGGGCACAGTGGCTCACGCCTGTAAACTCAGCACTTTGGGAGACCAAGGAGGGCAGATCAGAAGGTCAGCAGATCGAGCACAACCTGACTAACACGGTGAAACCCCGTCTCTACTAAAAAATACAAAAAATTAGCCGGGCGCAGTGGCGGGCGCCTGAAGTCCCAGCTACTGGGGAGGCTGAGGCAGGAGAATGGCGTGAACCCGGGAGGCGGAGCTTGCAGTGAGCCGGGATCGCCCCACTGCACTCCAGCCTGGGAGACAGAGCGAGACTCCGTCTCAAAAAATAAAAAAGAGAAGTCTGAAAACTGCTTGGATGAGCAATTTATGTATTCACTATTGGATATAGTTTATATTGAGTGAATACATATTTGTTTTATTATATGTTTATTATGCATTTATCAACTATATTAGCATATGATATTGAATGAATATATGTGCATTTGATATTAATGTATATTCACATGTACTACATGTATAGATTAGCATATGATATATACACACATACATACACATGTAATTTATTACTTACAATTTTTATTTGTGTGTTTCTGTGTTTCCAGTGATAAGAGAGAGCAGCCTTTAAGAAGTTGATGAGACAGAGTGACCACCAGTTATCTTTTCCTTAGCTTCCACTGGTGACTTCTCCAGCCCATACCTTGTCATTAATAATCCTTGGGAATTTCAACATTTCAATGGGAAACACTTTCAGTATTCTGGATTTTGCTTTTTCAGTTTCTACCACATATGGTTGCTTCAACTGTGCAGAAGTAGGCCTACACTTCCAATATTTTTCCTTCTGAGTATAATTCTGAAAGTCAGAATCCTCTTTAATCATATTTCATTACTTCTGTTAAATAAGCCAGTCCTGTCCTATCATTGTGACTTCTCTTACTCAGACTCTTCTCTAGTATTTTGTTTCAGAAGTCCTACTCTCCTTTCCCTTTCTAGCTTGTGCTTTTTCATTTTAAATTGTTAAAGTTGTTTTATTTAATTCCTATTACTTACAACTTTTATTTGTCAAAGTTAGATTACTTTGATTTATTACACTTGTAAAGAAAAACGAGTGGGGAAGGCTGTTAATATTTATTTAGAAAGTAACATGCATTGAGAATTATGCTGGGAATTTTGAAATAGTTATTCTGCAGGAACACCCTAGAATATACGTAGATGGTAATTATTTTAATGTCTAATAAGAAAATTGAGTCTCAATGAAGTAAAATTTCTCAAAAAGACTATGTAAGACATTGTTTTAAACTGCATGGTTTTATGATTTTGTTTCTGTGATTGCTTGATTGTGTTAGTCTACCAATTAACACTCAAAATTACTCAAAAATACTATGTAGACATTGGTCTAAACTTCATGTTTTTATGATTGTTTTTGTGATTTTGTTTATGTGATTGGTTTTAGTCTACCAATTAATACCTAGGTGATTTTTACCAAGCATTGTATTCCTGTATTATTCAAATTAAATGAGATAATGCACACAAATAGATTTGTTTTTATAGAGCCTGGTACCAAGTGAATGCAAAATGGATGTTACCTTCAGTTTTTGTTACTAGCATGCTTTGAATGATTTTCAATGTGGGTTATTAATCCAGTAATTCATTCTACCTTACTGAGTGCTTTTACAGTTAATACAGAAATAGCAAATGAATTATACTACTGCATATTTTTTTTAAAAAACTGGGACCTACAATATCTAGCTACTTTTTTAACAAACAAAACATGCTGTCTTGTAATCAGATTCTCTCTTAAATCTTCAATGTTTCTTTGTTATGATACATTACTAAATACATCAAATATGAGTCTGAGAAACTGACCTGATTGTGTGCAGCATCTGTCCTCTATCTTTTGTTTCTTGCCACTGTACTTAAAAAGAACTGCATGTCTTATAAGCAGGCAAGCTTATGATTTAAAACATTGTGCTAACAATTACTTTGATCAAAATATTTCCTGTTTGGTTGCCACAAACAAAGCAACTCAGTGCATTGTTAATTCTGACATTTATATTCCACAGACACCCTTAATTTAACAACAAAAAAAGAACACCATGAACAACAGCAATTATTTACTGCCTACTCTGAATTTGTGCAATTAGCTCAGGGAAGGAAGAGACTTTGCAAATATTTAATATCTTTACCCATTATTAATTTTTCCTCTTCTGATGCATGACTGAGGGCAGAGGTGGAGTTTATTATTATTTCAGCAAGTATATGCCATTGATGTAAAGCTTCCTCAGAACAGGCCCAGTTTTCTCCTGTTGGGTCTTCTTTCTTTTAGAATATTTTTCGAGTTAGAATTTTCCTGTTAAGAGCTATTATAATTTTTCACAAAAGTTTTTTAAATTAGTTTTTGAAAAGAAATATTTATAGGTCTACCAATATCATGAATCTCAATATAAAATAAATAAAAATATATCTAATGTTAATAATTTCAGCATCAATTTCACTGTAAAAAGTGTCACCCTTTGGATGAGGTGTTATGTTGCAAATTAACTCTTAAATAGCTTCTGAGAGGATTTCAAGACTATATTTCATTGGCATCTAATTGTGGAATTTGTGTTAAGCTTGTTGAGACACAGGTCTGTTTTGAGACAAGCACTGAATCTCAGCATGAGTTTTTGGCATCATCAGGGAGATTGACTATTAGTACCAGGGAATCTTTTCATCCTAGGAGTTTTCAGCCCAGGGAATGCAAGAAGAAAAGCTCATTTTCATCAGTGTCAAGTATTTTTGAAAGTCCTTTTTTAAATATCAAATCATATGCATCGGAGACACATAAGATACTTCCCTTTTCATGTAGCATTCTCTCTAAACATCTCAGTTCTAAGGCAGAAAAAAATTATTATTCATATTAAAGTGGAATATACTAACTGCAATGACTACTCATTATTTAGTATAAATGTTCAAGCTGTCTAGTCTATCAATAGAGATGCTATTGTTTATGTTGTATCACTGTCACTTCCAATAAGAAATCAGTGGGCAGATACTTGATTTACTTGGAAAAGAAGACAAATTAGATATCATTTCAGTCCTGAGCCTGATTTAAATTGGTAAATCCTCAAAGATACTTGATTTTTACATGAAGCTTACTAAGAAGTAAAATATTTGGTGTAACCTACCCAGGTAGAGAGATCTGGCCAGGCCCAGACCCAAGGTTTCTCTGCTCGAAGCATGCTGGAGTTTTTCAAGTGTCTGAACTCTCTGAAGACTTTCATGCTGAATATGTTTGTTTCTAGATCCCAGTCCCCAAGCATGACAACAAGATTTTCCAAATAAAAATCTGATTCCCTGGGGAAAGACAGACAAACAGATTCATTAGCCAAGATTCCACTCAAAATTTTACCCAAAGAGTGAAAATGTGGAGATTGCCTAGGGACTCAGATAATACTATTAAATAAAAAAGAATCCAATTACTCCTATATAAAATGAGAATTGACACTACTGGCCCTGCGTTGAAAAAATTAATAGATAGAAAGCACTGGATTCTGGCTCCAGTGGTCAATTTTAATGTGAATATTGGGAACAGAACTAAATGTAACCCCCATATTCTGCATCAAGAGCAACTTCTAAGTCATAAAAACCAAGTGATATAAAATATAAATTCAACATGTTAGTGGTTATAAAAGGTGAATATCAATTTTTAATTAACTTCTTAATGTGACCAGAAGGGGTATTAATTAAAATTCTTATTATACTTATCATATATTTGGTCTTATTTCTAGTGATTAATTAAAATTATTTGGTTGGAAAATTTTTTTTTTATATGATCCTGTGATCTTCCCTCAAAGCATACAGAAACATCGTAAGTATATACTGATAGCATTTCTTTTTTTAACTCACTGTGTGGAGTTTTCTAGTCTGTAAGCATTGTAGATGCAAAAGGTACATCTGCAATTACATTCTAGACACTATTTCCATCACTCAAATTAAACAATACTTTTATATTAAATGCTTTATTATTTAAAAATAATTGATCATTAAATACAATCTAAATTTGCAGTTAACCTATTCTCTCATTTCCATTTCCTCCATTCTATTCAGAATTAACCACTTTTGACTATCACAACCTTTATTATTATACTTTAACTTCTGGGGTATGTGTGCAGAACGTGTAGGTTTGTTACAGAGGTATACATGTGCCATGGTGGTTTGCTGCACCCATCAACCCATCATCTACATTAGGTATTTCTCCTAATGCTATCCCCTCCCCAGACCCCCAGCCCCTGACAGGTCCTGGTGTGTGATGCCACACCCCACCACCAAGTGTCCATGTGTCCTTATTGTTCAACTCCCATTTATGAGTGAGAACATGTGGTGTTTGGTTTTCTTATGTTAGTTTGCTGAGAATCATGGTTTCCAGTTTCATCCATGTCCCTGCAAAGGACATGAATTCATGCTTTTTATAGCTGCATAGTAATCCACGGTATATATGTACCATATTTTCTTTATCCAGTCTATCATGGATGGCCATTTCAGTTAGTTCCAAGTTTTTGCTATTGTAAATAGTGCTGCAATAAACACATGTGGGCATGTGTCTTTATAGTAGAATGATTTTTAATCCTTAGGGTGTGTACCCAGTAATGGGATTGCTGGGCCAAATGATATTTCTAGTTCTAGATCCTTGAGCAATCACCACACTGTTTTCCACAATGGTTGAGCTAATTTACACTTCCACCAACAGTGTAAAAGCATTCCTATTTCTCCATATCCTCGCCAACGTGTTGTTTCCTGACTATTTAATGATCGCCACCCTAATCGGCGTGAGATGGCTATCTTATTGTGGTTTTGATTTGCAGTTCTCTAATGACCAGTGATGATAAGCCTTTTTTCATATTATTTCTAGCTTGATTTAAAGTTAAACACATGTGACTCTTACTTTCACTTGAACACTTGGTAGTTATTGTAGCATTATTAATTGGGTTAATTTCAATATTGTGTGTCTCAGGAAATCGGGAGACCCAAAGTCTGGGAGATAGATTGATGAAGCTTGCCTTCCTATATGGGCACAGTTCATGGTGCCCCAAAACAACTAAGATAGTAATCAAAGGTTACTAATCACAGATTACCAAAATATATAATTATAATAAAGTTTTAAATATCACAAGAATTATCAAATGTGACATGGAGATACAAAGTGGGTACACATTGCTGGAAAAATGGTGCCAATAAACCTTCAATTTCCAAAAAAGAATAAAATCCCACAAAATCTGCAAAGATCAATAAAGCAAATTTCAATGAAATGAGCTATGCTTGTATAAGCCTTAGTACTAACTGAAGTTTCAGGTATCCACTGGAGGTCTTGGAATATATCCCCCATGGATCAAGGGGTACTACTATATCATATGTTTATATATGTGTGTATTTATGTTTATACACAGTCCTATACATGAGGTGTGTATATATATAAATATGTGTGCATATACATATGTGTGTATATATGTGGATATATATGTATATGTATGTATATACATTTGTATGTACATATGGTATGCATATATACATATGTATGTGTATATATGTATCTTTACATACATATATACACACGTAGATACACACCATAAATATACACAAAACACACATACACATGCCTAGAATCTAAATAAAGAAATTTACATTGGTAGACCAAGAAGGCATAACAAAGTTATTACATTTATTTAATTCTCCAGATATTCTTGAAGGGCAACCGGGTTAGAAACTATAGATCTAATGAACGGTTTTTTTACTTTGTAGGTAAGCATATTGAAACTAGAATAGGGAAATAATTTACATAATTGTTCACATATTTATATATTTATAATTAATTTTGGGCCTATTTTAGGGAGAAACAGAAAACTTGTATCAGGGACTATAAACACCATGAAGAGAAACAAAGACAAAGGGATGAAATATTATGTTGTGGCAAGCTTTGGACATATTTTAGAGAGGGTCTAGACTGTAACTTTATGATGTGGGGATATCAGAAATAATATCTGAATGAAGTGATGTAAAATGACACTGAGAATTCTTTTCAGTGACCCACTTTTAAAGATGAGCAGACAACGAAGATTACCTTTTATTATGTCAGAAATCAATTGACCATATAATATGTGAATCTGGTTCTGAACATTTTATTAATTAAAGTGTATTTTTTTACCCAATATCTCACTCTGCTATTTTAGCTTTGTGGTAAGTCCTAAAATCAGCCATATTCACAGATTATGTAAACATTCCAAATTTATTCTTTTTCAAAACTATTTTGACTCCCTTAAGTTTTTCTTTTCACTTTTACATATAAATTGTAGAATCAACTTCTCAATGTCTACAAAAAGTTCTTAATTTTAACTGGAATTGCACTGAATCTATAATGAGCTCATGATCTTAATAGATAGTTCACAGTCTGCCTTCCAGTATCAACTTTCTTTTCTTTATATTTCACATTCAGATTCCATAAACCAATATTTCCTACCTATCAATTTACAATCCCTGGGTATGGAGCCCAGCTAGACATCTATGTATTTTTCCATAATTTCCCCAAGACTTGCTTATGTACATAGCTAGGGAGTAGCTTATACATTAGTATGTAGAATTCCCCAAGACAAGACTAAATTCAACTCAAAAAGTTTGACCTTTATCTCTGCCAGAGCTCTAATATTCTAAGGTTCTATTATATAGAACATTATTATCTGTACACTATTCCCTCTCTCCTGTCAATATTTCCTATTCATGTATTCATATTTATCTCTTCTCAAGGAATAGAACACTCAAGGAGTCTAAATCTGCTTCTCATACAACTTAGAAGTATAGCACTTTAAAGTTAAGAAACCAAACTTTATTGAAGATTGTAAATCTTGTCATAAGTTATGCTTGGCTATTATTTTATCACATGTCTCCAGCATTTCCAGATAATGTGCATGTTATCTTCCCAGAAAAAGCAAACTGGAAATCAGAGAATTTATTATCTTAGTGGCATATAGCTATTTAGCATCAGAGTTGGGACTATATCTTGTATCATTAGGTTTCTTTTCCACTGATGGATCACTTTTTTTTTTTTCCAGCCAGAAGCCAAAGTTCCTTCAGGTAATCATTTTCATCATGTAGTTCATTACTCCAGAAACATTCACCTGTTTATTATTTTAAAAGTATTCCTGATACCTTTCTGTCCCAGAAAAGAATTTGTGTGTTTCTTCGAAGGGCCTCCCTGAGGACTTGAAGAGCTTGAGAAGCTGGTATAAGAATCCACATGCATAACATTAATCACGTACCTAATTGAGTGAACAGTTTATTTCCACAGGTAGGAGGAAAACCCCTTTATTACATATAACACATTATAGAAGCTATATTATGTTTGAAAATATATGCTTTAATATTTAAATATAAAAGAGAGGATTCTATTAATCTCAAAATTTACACCACAAATTAAATCATATGCCTCCTAGGATATATATCACAGAAAATATAAAGGACTTCCTACATATTTTGGTGAATAGAGTCATAAATTAGAAATTTGTTTTAATTTTTTCTGATGAAAAGTAAAAATGGCAGCAGGATTAAGGGCCAATGTTTCACATTTAGAAAAATTAGCTAGAGAGAAAATTAACTTTCAACTAGCTTTTGGGTATATTTCACTTTGGGTTCAATTTATTTTATTTTCTGATACAGGAATACCAGAAAAGTTTAAGTTTATTATAAAAGTTAGGTAATTGACTAAGAAGCAGATTTAGTTATTTTAAATTTTCATACTCTAAGCTTAATATCTTTAAATAATTTAATAACACAAAAATGCTATTTTACATAGTTTCTAGGACATAACATTTCTAAAACTATGGCGGGTTACATCAGGGTTGCACCACGGTTCTATTAAAATATTGATTTTGTAAATTCCTGTTTATATTATTATACAAATAAAAATTTAAGTCATAGTTTATATGTATTATTCACATGTAATATAAAAATTTATTAAAATTGATCTTAATGCATCTCATAAAAAAGAACTGTGCAATCACCTCATGTTTATGTAGTTGAATGAGGTATACGTGCAAGTTTTGTCCAATCTTAGTTATCCTTTAGTTTGGAAGGAGAAGTAATTTTTCCAAGTTTATGCTGCTAAACATGACATTTTAATATAGGGTTTTAGAGTCGAAGTATAGTTCCTAGTATTCTACAATTGCCTTATTTCAGATATCTTAGGAAAATAAAGTCTGGAACTGTAATGTAGCTGACCTTTCTCCTGTATGTGGTGGTAAATATGTATTTTGTAATGGACTCCTTTGGTAGATTATTAGTACATTTTTCAAAATTCACTGGCATATTTTTTTTTGAATCATGTTTCTTGTCTGCCTAATTCCTGTTTGTTCCTGAGTCTTGTCAGTGAACGTTTGTAAATATCCCATTGATTCTTCTAATAATGAAAGAAAGAGAGAGAAAGAGAGAGGAGAAAATATAGGAGGAAAGAGAGGATAGGAATTTGTATAACAGAACTGTATTTTTTATGACTCAAAAATACATTAATACATATTTAAACTATTTATTGATAACTCTGTAAGCTATTAACATAACACAAAATTACTTAATATATTTGTGTATGTGTGTGTTCTCACGAGTAATATGTAAGTAGTCTGGGTTTACAACACAGAAAGTGGAATTTAACTGAATTATACCTTTTACTGTAGAATTTTCTAAGAATCACATGAGAATTTTTGTTTTGTTCTGTAGTCCTTCATTTGAGGGTATTTATTTTGTATATTAGAAAAAATCTTGCACATGGATCTGTCAGAACATTTCTGTAACAATATATAAAAATACCTGGCCTTTCTCTTCTTTCTAAAAGTGGTTTTAGTCTTATTTGTTCATTCTCTTCTTAATGCATGGTCATCTTAATATGACAAAATTTTGGTATGTTTCACATCATGAATATAAATCATTTGTAAGTCACTGAATTCAGACTGGACCTACATATGACAGAGTTGTCACTCCTTTTAAAACTTTCATAATCTATGACACGCTAAAAGAAAAACTAAATTACCTTGCTTAAATCTCCCCTCTAATTTTACCCCCTAAATTTAGTATGTGTAGTACTAAACTGTTTCAATAACAGGTTTTCAGTGTAGATACAGGAGTCCCTTTAACCTTGCTACCTTATTTTCTTTTATTTATTTTTGGTCATGTAATTGTCTTTCTTCATACTCCTCAATGTGAAACAGAATAACATTAGGAAAGAAATCCAGATATCAAACACTACTTTCTCACAAATATACTAATGTTATATTTTTAGCCAGATATTCCATCATTTTTATATTATTGGTGATTTTTATTTCATAGTAATTTTAGAAACTCTAAAAGCAACTATAATATGTTAAAAGAATGGCAATGATTTATCTTTAACAGAAATATGTTTTAAAATACATCCAAGGACTTTGCAAAAATAACAAACATATGAATTATTAGTAAGATGCATCTCACATTGTTATTAAGTTGAAATTTAAAAACAGTTATGATAAATAAGGTACAGAGGCCAAAACTGACAAGTAGGTGATATATATTTCAGGAAGAAAAAGTCCTGAAAATAAAACACATTGCACTGTTTGTAAAGAAGTTACATCTATCTCTAGAATATGGTCTGCTCTTCTATATTTAATGGAACAAGATAATTGCCAGAACAGAGTACATGAAATAATTTTATTTGAAAAGGCTACTGCATGCAACAAGTTGAAATGTATGTCTGACTTATCCCCATTTTCTAGTCATCTGGAAGCCTTTTAAATTATGTAATTTTGATATTTTAAAAAATTTAAATTGAACTGTGCTGTGAGTGTGGTTTCTCCTATTTTAAAAATTGTGAACATTTACAAAAGACATCTCATGTACTTCATCACAAATCTAAGACTGTACTGAAGTGTGTGCTTTCCACTATGACATATTTAGTTTTAAATATTTCTACATTCAGTAATCTTTGTGAGCTTTAGGACATAATATGAGAGCAAGTGGTAAAAAATTCAACAGAAAATTAACTGGAAAATAAAATCACTTTAATTAGCACGGTTTTTTAAAAACATGATAAATTTAGCCAATAAATTAATTACATATTTTTTCCTTTTACTTATACAGAGAAATTCATCTCTTTGGCTCCAATTACTTCATCATAGTCTACTTCATTACTATCAGGGAAATTATTATGCTTAAGAAATAAAACAAGGATACAATTGAATGGACTCCATTTTCACAGGCTATAATCTTTATAATCTGTAAGTAAAAACTGAAGTGAACAAGTTGTCATCAGGTTTGGATATATACAAGATTCCATTGAAGAACAAGACTGAAGTCACCATGTTTATATTGACAGGCTTCACAGATGATTTTGAGCTGCAAGTCTTCCTATTTTTACTATTTCTTGCAATCTATCTCTTTACCTTGATAGGCAATTTAGGGCTGGTTGTATTGGTCATTGAGGATTCCTGGCTCCACAACCCCATGTATTATTTTATTAGTGTTTTATCATTCCTGGATGCCTGCTATTCTACAGTTGTCACTCCAAAAATTTTGGTCAATTTCCTGGCAAAAAATAAATCCATTTCATTTATTGGATGTGCAACACAGATGCTTCTTTTTGTTACTTTTGGAACCACAGAATGCTTTCTCTTGGCTGCAATGGCTTATGATCGCTACGTAGCCATCTACAACCCTCTCCTGTATTCAGTGAGCATGTCATCCAGAGTCTACGTGCCACTCATCACTGCTTCCTACGTTGCTGGCATTTTACATGCTACTATCCATACAGTGGCTACATTTAGCCTGTCCTTTTGTAGATCCAATGAAATTAGGCATGTCTTTTGTGATATTCCTCCTCTCCTTGCTATTTCTTGTTCTGACACACACAAACCAGCTTCTACTCTTCTACTTTGTGGGTTCTATTGAGATAGTCACTATCCTGATTGTCCTGATCTCCTATGGTTTCATTCTGTTGGCCATTCTGAAGATGCATTCTGCTGAGGGAAGGCAAAAGGCGTTCTCTACATGTGGCTCTCACCTAACTGGAGTGACAATTTATCATGGAACAATTCTCTTCAGTTATATGAGACCAAGTTCCAGGTATGCTTCAGACCATGACATCATAGTGTCAATATTTTACACAATTGTGATTCCCATGCTGAATCCCATCATCTATAGTTTGAGGAACAAAGATGTAAAAAAGGCAACGAAAAAAATGTTGAAATTGGTTTACACATGAAGAATATTTTTAAAATTGAGTAAAACTGAAAAAAATGTTGAGTGTCAGAGTTCACATCTCTATATTTTAGGTAAAGTATTTGCATATCAAAGAATAGTTTCAAAAAAGCATTAAGCAGACTGCCAATGCAGCATTTTCAAATTTAAACAAATTGCATGACATACATGCCAATTAATTTGTTCGTTCAGAGATCTATATTAAATATTATTTGATATATATTGTTGTTACCAATCACACACTACTAACAACAGCTTTCACAGTAAGTAAAAATCAGTTACACACTTATAACTAGTAAGTGAATCCTACAGAATCCTGGGAATTGATAAATGCTTACATGGCTTATTAAAAGTTTTTGTATTCATTGTGGAGTTACTTCCCCAATCTATAATCCCTAAGAAGAAATATCCAAATTTTACTTTACTTTCCCTAAATGTGCCTTCATAAACTGAGATCTAGTCAAGCTTCTAAACATGCCTTTAGCTGTGTTTATTTCTACATCCTAAAGTTTTTCCATGATTAAATGTTTTCCTTGCCCCTTTTCAACCACAGAAGTTGACTGTATTCATTGTGAAACTATATTGGTTGTAAATGCTAATATTTATTGAGAGTGTTCTGAAGGCTCAGGAAACACTATACCCCAGGAATGAAACCACAATATATGTATAAATGACTGCTCTAAGGTCTGACAAACTAGCATGTCCTTGCTCACTTTGTAGTCCTGCCATTATCTTGTATCTACTTTATCTGTAAGAAATGACTGCAATGTCATCCTTCCACAAAATTTACACCTAGTGAACAAGCCTGCAGAATGGAAATTATTTTGCTTTACCTCTACTCACATCTGGCTCTACTTTATGAATTCCACTTTAGTAAGTTTTGTTACAACATTGGAAGATTCATTAAACATGGAAATTGTTTTTCAATAAAACACACACTTTTCCCTCCTAGGATATTTTTATGTGAATTAACCAGAATGATCCAATCATAACATAGTTAACCACACTGAAAATTTCAGACATCAGTTTCTAATCTTTATTAATCAATTATGCAAAGAGAACCTAACCCTGTCTATGTGAACGAGCAAATGCTTGCAGCCAAAATCTGTACTAAATTTCCTCTTAAAAAAATACAACTTTTTAGATACAAAACCCTGATTACACTGTAGACAAAATTTTCTTTTAAAATAATAAGCTATTTGAATATAGAGAATCTTAAAATATAGTTTTCTGTTTATGATCTTTTGGTGAGAGTGTTCTGGAAGAAAATTAAATCTGCTTCAAAAATGTGTCTAAATAAATAGCTGTCTCACAAAATTTAAAATTTCTGCAGAATTCCAGAATCATTTATTTTTTTGGAGGGGTTTTCAAATTATGGTGTCAAAATTATTGGGTAATGTTTTAGTCAAGGTTGCTATCTCCTTTTTTATTGTTTTGTTTCTCTTTCAAATTAGCAAAAATAGTCATTCTTTGAGAAAGGAATAGGTGAGCATTAGGTAAAATGATGCACTGACATACGCCTAAAAATATCTGGTTAATAATGCATTCAACAAACTCATTCAGAATTTGTCAAGTTAACTAGTATGAAAAGTTTTACTATCTCTCTTTTTATCCTGATCGATTAGAAAACAAATGGTGTGAATAAGCAGTTTCCAATGACCTGCTATTTGTTCAGGTCAAGGTGAAAAAATGGTGTATTTAACTCTCATGTCAATAAAACATTATGTTACATATCTCAGCTCAATTACCTTTTCCCCAAAAAGAATTATTTGACTCACTCTGACCCCATGGAGCCTCTCTCACTTATCACAGTTGCTATTTAGCATGTGGTGTTGTGAGTTTATAATACATTATCCAGATCTACCATGATGCTGACATTGTAAATTGCATAAAAACAGGAATTGGGCCTATTTGTCCTCAAAATTGTATCTCTGAGTCCTAAAAGAGTACCTAGAACTTATGGTTTGCTGACAAAATATTTGTTAAATAGTGAATACATGAATGAATTATACTTAATACCAATAATTAACATATGCTTATTAGGTATTGGACAATCATGTAAATGTTTTTACGGTATTAACTTATGTAATTCTCATAACTTCAGGAAGTGATTGTAGTAATACCCTTTAACAAAGTTGAGGAAACAGCAGCCCAATACCACATAACTCTAAAGGGTGATGTCAGGATTCACATCTAAGCTGTCTGGTTACACAGTTTCTGTTTTTAAGCTTGTTATACATGGAATGAAAGAACAGATTTATCTTTTCACTTTACCAACTTTATTAGTCATCTTCCAGAGAGCATGATTGAGAGCATTGAAGCTCTTCATTAAGTCTGTGGCAGAAATAAGAAGAAAAAGGAATGTATTTTAAAAGTACTGAAAATGTGGTTTCCACTGGATTTGGCCATTCATTCCATTCATTGAGATGTAGAAGTTTCAAGAAATCAGTATGTCAAAGCGGTATCTGTACTCTAATGTTTATGGCAGCATTATTTGCAGTAGCCAAGATATGGAATGAACCTAAATGCCCATCTACAAATGAACGCATAAAGAAAATGTCACACACACACACACACATACACACACACAAATGGAATATTATTGAGAAATAAAACAATGAAATCCTGCCATTAATGACAACATGGATGAATAAATGAGTGAAATAAGCCAAGCACAGAAATACAAATACTGCACAATCTCACTCATATGTAGAATAAAAAAAAAAAAAAACCTTGATTTTATAGAAGTAAAAAGTAAAAGTGGTTATCAGAGGCTGAACAGGGTAGTGGAGACTAATTAAATGAGGTTAGTTGATTTATATAAAATAACAATTAAACAGGAAAAGTAAGGTCTGATGTTTTATTACACAGTGGGGTGACTATGGCAGTAACAGTATAGTATGTATTTTAAGATAGCTGGCAAATAATATTTTAAATGTTATTCTACAAATAAATGATAAATTTTTAAAGTGACATTCTAACTACCTTGATATGATCATTTTACAATGTATACATGCATTGGAACATCACAGTGTACTCCGTACATAAATATGTACAATTATTTTAGTCAATTATAAATTTTAAAGTTCATTAAAAGTTATTGGAAGTGAAATTTCATCTGGATTTGACAATTCATTTTATTTACTGAGACCTTTTGAATTTGCAAGTTTTGAGCCTATATGATAAAACAAGACAAAGATAAAAAGTAAAAGTGAGAGAGAAAAAAAAGAGACAGAAAAAGGAGAAGAAAGGAGATAGAAAGGAAGGGGACACACCGGAAAGATGAATATTGTAGAAGTTCAGTGGTTAAGATCGGTTATATGTAAACTGATTCGGAGGTTCCATTACGTTTTTAATGCATAAAACTAAAACTCCAGAAGAATATTGCAGTGGTGAGTGGAGAGTTATCCAGAAAAGAAACATTTGAAACCACAGTATTGGGTGGGATTTTAAATGATATATGGGACCTCTGCTTCCACACAGAATTTGGAAAGCAGCAAAGTAAATTCTTCTCATTCTAACAACTTAAAAAGCCAAGTAATCTACCAAATTATACCCTTTCATGAGTCTGTCAGAGAACCAAGGTTCAAAACATCCAAGAAATCTGAATACCAAGGAAGACCAAGTTACTTCAAACATAGATGAGATGCCTGAGCATCTTTCTTTCACCGCGGGCAGAGAGTGTGAAATGTTTGTTCACCAGACAGACAGGAAGAAATTACTGACTATATACCCAAATGATTATAAACCTTTCTAGTATAAAGACACATGCACACTAATGTTTATTGCAGCACTATTCACAATAGCAAAGACTTGGAATCAACCCAAATGCGCATCAATGATAGACTGGATAAAGAAAATGTAGCACACATACACCACGGAATACTATGCAGCCATAAAAGAGGATAAGTTCATGTCCTTTTCAGGAACATGGATGAAGCTGGAAAACATCATTCTCAGCAAACTAACACAGGAACAGAAAACCAAACACTGCATGTTCTCACTCATAAGTGGGAGTTCAACATGGATACAGGGAGGGGACTATCACACGCCAGGGCCTGTCAGGGGATGGGGTGCCAGAACAGGGACAGCATTAGGAGAAATACCTAATGTAGATGATGGGTTGATGGGTGCAGCAAACCACCATGGCACATGTATACCTACATAATAAACCTGTACGTTCTGTGCATGTATCCCAGAACTTTATAATTTTAAAAATAAAAGAGGAAATCAGCTTAAAATTAAGTAATGTTAAAGGCCAAGTGTGAGCTATTGGGAAAAGCAGGAAGTCTTAGAATAAAAGAGTTTGCATTCACTCCCAAGTCTTCTCTGCAGGCCCCCACCAAGCACGTACAAAAAATAATAATAATAAAAAAATTAAATTAACTTCTTCAAATATCATTGTTTCTGGTTGTCTTTGACTAAAGAGCAGTGAAAATTACTGGAATAAATGCTTTAGTGGAGAGGGTAAACACCATGCATGAATATGTGAGAAATATCAGAGATGGAAAATATAAATAAAAACTCATGCTCACAGTCACAATATCTAAGACAAAGAATTTCTTTCACAAGCTTATCAGATTCAGTAACTTGAGAAAAGTATTAGTGAACTTGAAGATAAAGCAACATAAATTAACCAGAGAGAAAAGTTAAAGAAAAAATACGGAACTAAAAATTATCAAAAAAAACTGTAGGACAACATCAAACAATCTAATATACATACAGTTAGTGTTTCAGAACAAGAATCAAGGGAGAATGGGTCAGAATAAACATTTGAAGACAAAATGGTCAAGAATTTCCTAAAAATAAGAAAACATAAAATCACAGGCACAAAATACTCAGAAGACCCAAGGAAGGACGTGTGTTAGTCAGGGTTCTCCAGAGAAACAGAACCAACAGGATGTATGAGGGAGGAGGAGGGTGAAGGATTCATTACAAGGAACTGGCTCATGTGATTCTGGGAAGCTGGCAGTTCCAAATTCTGCAGGTTGAATTATCAGGCTG